CATATATGTTTTCTAAATTAGCAAATAATTATTGGAGACTCCCAGTAAACTTTATTAATCTGGAAATCCTAAAATTCCAGAATAAATAAAATTTAAATTTTGAAAACCATTTTCATAGCTAGAAAACCGAAATGATATTGTGAAAATATATTTCGAAATTCCAAAATTAACAAAATTTATTTTTCAAGTCAAAATTAATTTCCAGAACCAGAATATGATTTTTCCAGAATTTAAAATATTACTTTTGCAATTTAAAATAATTAAAAATCGGATTAGTGAATAGTACCGATCCAATTACTTCATAAATACAAAATAAATACTTTTACGTGTTTAAAAACTATGAAAATTTTTATAAAAGCTCAAAATATCTGGTCGCAACTTATTATGAATTAAAAATAATTTTTGATCGTCAAAAATAAGTTTTCCTATTTTCTATTCAGTAAACGAATTTAAAAATAGAAAACTAGGAAATTAATTCCAAAAATCGATTTTAAAATTTCTGAGTTATATTGAAATGTCAGATACGTCCCAGAAAATATAAAATCTAATTTTCATAAATATTAAGTATTTATGGAACAAATAACAAGTATTCTACACATAAACTACTTAATAAGAGTAATATAAAAATACCCCAAACAGTAATTCCGAAAATTACTGAACAAAATTATAATAGGTCCAGTATCTAAATATGGCCACCTAATTAAATTTTATAATGGGATAAATTTTTGTCTCCAAAATTTATTGACTAATCTACAAAAACAATAACGGTAATAACTACTAAACTAGTAACTTCGTAAGCCGGCTCTGATACCACTGTTGGGAAACGAGGCTTGGATAACGCAGCGGATAACAAAATTTAGAGTCCAAAACTCGATTCCACCCAAGAACAACTTACGTAAATTACTAGCTATAGTAAGAAATTTACCTTAACGGTGAAAACAGAGAACGGAGGAACGGTCGGGGATGGTTTTGAGGAGATGAACGTAGCGCCAAACGTATGAAGCCTCCAATGTATTTACACGAACTTGCTCCGGAGTCCTAGATTAAACTTGTGCTAGCAAGTTTAATTTAGGATAGTAAAAACTATAATAATATTACTTTGGGAGTAATAAATATATAGTAAAAATATTTATCTTATAAATACTTCTTTATAATATTTTGTGTATATTTCTAACACATTAGAAAAATAAATTTGAACACAAAATAAAATTTTCTTCTCTCTAAAATGGGATGGCCGAAAATCGTGGTGTTTTTTTCAAAATCAAGACCTCATTTTATAATAAAGTATATTTAGGAAATTGCTAGGAAATTAATGTTAAGCATAAGTCCATGTATATGTCTTAACACCATGGGTAAATGTTTAATATCTTAGCTACCAAACAAAATAGAATCCCTACATCAAATAATAATCAAATATATCAATTTGACATTAAAAATACTTTATGTATAAAATCAAAATGGTCTTGGATTTTCCTCTTGAAATCTTCGGCCATCTCATATTAAAGTACATTATATTTTATTTTGACATCAATAATTATCATATAATTAAAATGATGAAAAATAAAATAATATATATATA